CCACAACGCCTGGCCATTTTTTGGTTGCAGCCATCATTGTTGTTTGTCAGGCCCGGGCTGGGGATTCGAACCCGCCACCTTAGGTGTATGTGGCTGGAGCCTTAGCTGCTTGAGCCACAGGCGCCGAGCCAGCTCATGAATTCTTAACTTTATCAGACACAGTAACCTGTAAATAATGCTGGAACGTACTATGACTATACTAAACACCAAAACGTTAAGTTTTCTTTTTTTAGGAACAGAGTCTCACTTTGTCACCCTCGGTACAGTGCTATAAAATCACAGCTCACAGCAACCTCTAGCTCTTAGTAAGGCTTAGGTGATTCTCTTCCCTCAGCCTTCTGAGTAGCTGGGACTACCAGAGCCGGTCACAACGCCGAGCTATTTTTTTGGTTACAGTTTTGGCCAAGGCCAGATTTATACCCACCACCCTGGGTAAATGGGGCTAGCACCCTACCCTTTTGAGCTATAGGCATCACCCTACCAACGAAGAGACTCGTAACAATGTGTCAACATTTGGAGGTGGTCACCATAAGGAACGAGGCCTACTGTATTGATAACCACAAGTGGTGTTATGTTCTGCCTATAATATTCAGGTCAACTTAAAGAGGTGGTCAGGTGGCGCCTGTGGTTCAGTGAGTAGGGTGCCGGCACTATATACCGAAGGTGGCAGGCTCAAACCTGGCCCCGCCAAACCGCAACAACAACAAAAAAATAGCTGGCCATGTGGCAAGTGCCTATAGTCCCAGCTACTTGGGAGGCTGAAGCAAGAGAACTGCTTAAGCCCAAGAGCTGGAAGTGGCTGTGAGCTGTGGCACCATAGCACTCTACCGAGGACAACAAAGTAAGACTGTCTTTTTTTTTTTTGAGACACAACCTCAAGCTGTCACCCTGAGCAGAGTGCCATGGCATCACAGCAGGCGCCTGCTACAATGCCCAGCTATTTTTTGGTTGCAGCCATCATTGTTTGGCAGGCCCGGGCTGGATTCGAACCAGCCAGCTCAGGTGTACATGGCTGGCACCTTAGCCGCTTGAGCCACAGGTGCCAGCCATAAAACTGTCTCTTAAAAAAAAAAAAAAAAAAAGGCTCGGCGCCTGTGGCTGAAGCAGCTAAGGCACCAGCCACATACACCTAAGGTGGCAGGTTTGAATCCAGCTGGGGCCCGCTAAACAACAGTGATGGCTGTAACCAAAAAATAGCCGGGCATTGTGGTGGGCGCCTGTGGTCCCAGCTACTTGGGAGGCTGAGGCAGGAGACTCGCTTCAGCCCAGGAG